CGAGAGTATGGCCCCAGACACCCTTTTAGCTCAGTGGTGAAGTTACTTCTGAGGTTCACCGTTCAGCTGGGGACTGGACAGCCCCATAAAACAAAATGGGACTAATGAGGCACAGCAGTCCAGGGACAAAGACTAGAAGGCAGAAGGGGACAGGAAAGCTGGTGATAAGGAACCCAAGGTTGAGTGAGGACAGTGTTGACACGTAGTGGGGTCGTTAACCATTGTCATAGGGCAACATGTATACTAACTGTTTACTGAGAAACTATTTTGTTCTGTAAACCTTCATCTAAAGTGAGAATAGCAGCACAACTGGAAGAATGTTATCTATGTCACTGTATTGTGCTTGTAGAAATTTTTGAAATGGTGTATCTTTGGCTATGTATATTTTCACCAAAAAAGAAAAAAAAAAAAAAAGGTCGAGAAGGGAGAGTGTGGACATGTTGTGGGTTTGTTTACCAATGTCATAAAACAATGTGTACTGTTTAACGAGAAACTATTTGTTCTGTAAACCTTCATCTAATGTACAGAAAAAAAAAAAAAAAAAACAGTATGTCAACCTGGCTAGACCATGATTCCCAGTATTGTCTGGCTGTCCACCATTATGTGATCTGATGTGATTATCGTATGTGTTGTAAATCCTACCTCTACGATGTTAATGAGGCAGGATTAGAGGCAGCTATGTTAATGAGGCAGGACTCAATCTACAGGATTAGGTTGTATGCTGAGTCAATCTCTTTTGAAATATAAAAAAGAAAAGTGAGCAGAGGAGAGGGATTTCATGCCACCAAGAAAAGAAGCTCTGGGAGCATAGCGTGTCCTTTGGATCTGGAGTCCCTGCGCTGAGAAGCTCCTAGACCAGGGGAAGATTGATGACAAGGACCTTCTCCTAGAACTGAGAGAGAAAGCCTTCCCCTAGAGCTGGCATCCTAAATTCAGACTTCTAGCCTCCTAGACGACAAGAGAATAAATTTATGTTTATTAAGGTCATCAACTGTGGTATTTCTGTTATAGCAGCATTAGATAACTAAGACACCATACAACTATGGTAATATATTAATAATTGGTCAATCTGTGTTACAGTACTTGGGTGTTCACTGTACTAATCTTGCAAATGTTTTGTAGGTTTGAAAATTTTCAAACAAATGTGGAGCAAAAAAAAAGCAAGTTGGTAACTTCAGCTTCTAGGGTCCCATCGTGATCCCAAAGATGCAAATAATGCAAACGCTATGGGTGAAAAGCATTTGAAGCAACTGACTACTAGGTGAAGCTGAACAGGTATCTAGGTTAAAATTAATTCTATTAAACATATTATGTAGATTAAATATTTCAGTATTTTTACTTTCCAATTATAAAACTCACCTCTATTACTGAACTTTCTACAGTAAAAATAACAGACCTAGAGTCTGAAAGTCTCTAGCTTCTTTCCCTTCACTGGAACAAATGTATCTATAAAATAATGATTGTCAACAACATACTCTTCTATAGGAATCTAACTGTCATGTTACAGTCAAGCAACTAAATAAATGTAGTTATGACAGAGAAGAGGAAATGATCAATTCTGATGGAAGTGGCGATGGTGGCACTTCAGGCAAATGACGATGTAGTCAACTAATACTTGGCTACCACATTTATGACTGTCACTGCGCTAGATAACGGAGATGAAACCCTGAGTGGGAGAACTCAGTCACAAAGGTATTTGAAAATGGCCATTCAGAGAATGTTAAATACTGAGTAGGAGAGAAAAAAAAAAACCAAACCCGTTGTCGTTGAGTCCATTCTGACTCAAAGCGAGCCTATAGGACAGAGTAGAACTGCCCCCTGAGTATGAGAGAAGGTATGAAATGAGGGCTGGAAAGGAAAGGTAGGGAACAGATCATGAACAACCTTCATCACACAGAGGAATCTATTCTTTACCCTAATGACACGGGGAGAACTTTAAGTGAAAGAATATGATTCATGTTTTTGAAAGGACAGCAAATAGCAGCAAATGGTTCTGCCCTCCTCCAAAGTAACCTGCCCAGGGACGACTGCCAGAAAACCAGATGATTTACACAACCCACTGCTTCCCACTCTATTTTCATCATATTCTTCTCAAATTTACCACTGCGTAACTCATTTGTCCCTCTTCCTCTTGGGAAAAAAATACACAGGAGTCTTCTATCTGAAAATCTATCATTCCATATGTATGCATATGCTTTTTTTCCTGAGTGAGCTAATTACTTAAGTATATATTATACAATTAATAATAATTTTGTACCTCAAGCTTGAAATCTTAGAAAGAACAATTTTTTATGATCCCTTAATTTAGGTATTCTATCTTTAGCTCCAAATCTAATTTTGTAGGGAGATTAATTTATGATATCTCTATTTATCAAAAATACCAGCCATTTAAGTGGCAGATTCTGTATGCACTTGACCTAGTGACTATAATTTACTGGTTGTTGGTATTACTCAATCTATTTAAGTTAAAAAAAGTCTAAAAATATTTTTCATTCTGTGATGATCACAGTAGCACTTATAAGAAGCAATTAAAAGTTGGAAAAAAACCTCAAACAATTGCAGAGGTGATCTGAAGTTAATTCTCATCTCATCTGCATTGGTTTTGAAGAAAAACTACAATGGAACAAGCAGCAACAGTAAGAACCAAAAAACAAAAACCAAGCCCACTGCCACTGAGTTGACTCTGAGCAGAACTGCCCCATAGGGTTTCCAAGGCTGTAAATCTTTATGGAAGCAGACTGCTGGCAGGTTTGAACCACTGACCTTTCAGTTAGCAGCCAAATGCTTCAACCACTGCGTCACTAGGGCTCCTCAGTGTACTCGCAGCCCAATCTAATTACAAGAATATAACACAAGGCCCCCAACCAGATGTTTTCTCATTACCTCCCTTTGAACCACGAGCCTTCTGGTTAGCAGCCAAGTGCTTTAACCACTGCACCACCAGGGCTCCCCAACAGAAACAAGCGGGCAGTTAAATGAGATATACAAAGAGAGAAAAATAGAGTGATGAAGACATTGTATGCCTTACCTTATTTATCTTCTCTTTTGGGTGTGATAACAGATTTGGGAAGTGGGACAGGACATCACAGTTGAGAACAACCTGGGTCTGCTCGTCAGTGCCGGTCACTATGTTGCCAACTGCTCTGAGTGCTGCTGTCTAGGGTGGGGATACAATATTTTCTGTAAGTTTATTTATTTGTTTATGATGAAACTGATTCTATCATAATCTTGAGAAAATGTAAAAATATAAAGGGTGAATGAGTAACATTTATTTCATCCTCACACAAAGCAGTAAGCAGAACTGGGAGCAATTCTGAATTTTAAACAAGTCACTTGTGAAAAATATTTCATGGAAAAACCATGTGAGCAACTGATTCAAAAAAGAGCCAAAGAAATTTAAAAAAGAAATTAAAACGAAAAACCTGAAGGCCCATTTTAAACAGCTATTTTAATCCATTACTAAAATTTTATCTCTTTAAAACTGTTGTACTATCCATCAGTGTCTGTCTCCGTTAGAGTGCTGGCTGAAAACAAGCTCAGTGCTGTTCAAGTCACTCTGTTCCTCTGCTCAGTGGAACCACAGACAAGAATGTGGATGTCTTGTGTGAGCCCTCTATGCTTCCGCAGCACCCACCTCTATAACGACACAACAAACCAAACTAAAAACACTGGTTTACCTGTCTGTTCTACCCAAGCCCTGAGGTCTGAAGCGCTACAAGGACAAAAATCATTCTTTATTTGAAGAGTCCTGGATCATAGTTATATTCTAGTTACATGCTCTTAAAAGTCACTTCATTTGAGGACTGTTTTGCAATGAGAATATTTCAAAGTAAAACAGATGTAAAATACTTGTATAGTGAAAGAATCATAAATGTTACATATATTAACTTTGGGATGTCACAGACTATGAAAATAAATTTTTCTTTCTTTATTAAGGGCAAGGATAGGTAACTTTATAAGGTTAGCAGCTTTTATTTGCCAAGAGGGATGTTAAAAAACATCTACCATGTTTTATCATTCCATAAAATAACATTCTGACGTGAAAAAAGGCACTACAGACAATGCCAGAATAAAGACATTCTATTACCAAAAGGACTTGCTTGTACTTGTGTAGGTGTGAACATGCGTCTGCAGGTCTACCTACACTGTCCTCGATATTCTCAATTTAAAGGAGAACCGGTAAAGAGTTCACTATGGGCAGCATGTGGTCCTGAAATTCAGGTTTAACAGCTAGAAAGACAGAATAGGAAGTTAAGAGCAGAAAGAAGAGAGATTTGACTGGGATTTGATTTAAAATACTCAACAAAAACAACTAAAAAAGAGTGGAGGGATAGATGATAAAGAATGACAGAATGTTGATAATTTCTGAAGTTGAGTGATGGGTACAATGAGGTTCATTATATTATTCTTTCTACTTTTGTGCATGTTTGAAAATTTCCATAATAAAATGTTAAAAGAGAGAAAGAGAGGGATTTCAAAGACATGCTAAGTTATTGTGTACACTAAAATAACAACTCAATCAACGTTTATGGAGTGCCTATGGTATGACAGGGGCTACTTTAGGCACAGAGATAATGATGAAAAGATAAACTTACTACACTCTTGAGAAACTCTGAATCCAATGAGCATAATAAAGAAACTAGTAGTTACAATAATGTAGTAAATTATAAAAACAGAAATGTTATTTCTGAAAAAAAAAGAAATAACAGGACTTCCTCTTCTGGGGAAGATTAGGGAAAATTTCCCAAGAGAAATCCTGCTGAGTCCTAAAGGTTATCTCTGGTGCAAAGTGTGTAGCGGGGGGCATTCTAAGCGTAAGTGCCAAATGCTCATTAGAGTAGGGGACGATGGCTTTCTTTGTTAAGTACATGAGTATGTACGGCTGAGGTGTAATTCTCATATGGGAGAGGCAGGCTGGAAAAGTTTGAGAGCTAGGAAGTGACCAGATGATAAAAACCTCTGATCTGGCACTGGGATATTGGCAGCACTAAAACATTTTAACAGAGGCCAGGAGTGGGCACACATTTCCATTTAGAAAGCTCACTTTGGCAGAAGTAGGATAAACCCATCTATCAGCCACCTACCCCTAATTAGAGTGGGGAGATACTGGAAAAAGAGGAAGGCAGTTAGGAGGCTACTAAATTATCAGAGAAAAAGAAACAGGGTCTTGAACTAACTCAGTGGCTCAGATTTGAAAACTATATATAAAGAAGAATTGATAGGATTTTGTAACAAAGAGGAAAGAAACAAAAGGCAGATCAAGGTTTCTAGCTTGGACCATGCTGTCCATTGAAAGGGGATGCAGGAACAGGAGGAGGTTTGTGGGAAATGATGATACACTTCATTTTTGTCTGGTTGAAATGACAATGGAATGCTTGAAAGAGTTCTAGGAGGATATATTTAAGAGGTCAAAAACAATTGGCCATATTGGTCTGGAACTCAGCAATTCTATATAAGTAGGAAAATTTTAAAATACTTACTTGAACTTTCACTTCCTGGTGGCTGAGAAGGGGCACAAGAAATGGCACAACCCCTGAATCAATAACCATCTGTATCTGCTCATTACCTCCATCGGTCAGGTATGACAGGGCCCAAACGGTATCTACAAGAATCTGTAGGAGGTAAAAAAGAATAGCCAGTTTACGTATTTGTTTGAATGTTTAAAATACATAACATACCTTAGGAGTGAACAGAAGAAGTAACCAAGTTTTATGTCTTGGTGGCAAAAACATCTGCTTCCCTGATAAATGTATTAAGTAGTAGGTATTTTGCTCTCAATGCCTACCTCAGACTATTCTTCATAAAAATGAGACACAGAAGTCTGTAATAACTTCTACCGTATCTTCTGCATTTATATATCAAACAGGTGAATTTAAAAATAGGCAGAAAAGTAGTTCTCCTTGTCCCACAAATTGGGTACCTAATAATCCCATGTATCATACACACATTCATATACAGAATGAGGCCAATACTTCAAGTCTGTTGTTGTATGCCATTGCGTCAATTCCGACTCATAGCGACCCCACAGGACAAAGTAGAACTGCCCTCTAGGGTTTCCTATGCTGTAATCTTTACAGCAGCAGATTGCCAGGTCTTTCCTCCAGTGGACCTTTTGGCTGGCAACCAAGTGCCTAACCACTGTGCCAGCAGGGCTCCTTACTAGAAGAGGCCAAAAAGATTATCTGTCTACTCTAGAGGTTTTCATACATGTTTAGCAATGCAATTCATTTTTCAGACTACAAAAGTGAACAGATAAACACGTCCTCAACTGAGGAACATGGAGTACAAACCATGCCCTATGTCCATCCTAATTTTGCAGAGAAAAAACACAGGCTCAGAGGTTTGGTGACTCATTCAAGGTCAAAGAGTTTGTTTGTGGCTCTCCTTGGTGTTTTCACAGAGAAATGTGAAGCACTGGTCTTATCCTATGTGAAATTCAGAGATGTTTATTATTAAAATTAAAGACATCCTGTAGCTCTAAGATAACAGCGGCCACCTAAACTCAAATCTCTCCACATACCCTTAAAAAAACAGATGAATAACAAGACCAAATAAAACCACATATAGCCTGCATCTTCAGCATTACTAGGAATCAGAGGACACGACAAATTTCAAATAATGTGTAAGAAGAGAAAAAATTAAATTCTTCACTTTTGTCTGGGCTTCCTGCCCCAAGCCTGTGTGAGACTTCAGTCTCTCTGAATAAGCTGTATAGAGAAGAGGCGAAGGCAGTGAAGGGCTTAAAGGCAACACAGCTGTAAACTACTGCCTCTAAAGATAAAGAAACAGTTCTCTGAACTCTCAGGCAAAAAGATCAAATGACTTATAAGAGTAAGAAAGTCAGGCTGGCATCACACTTTTCAAAAGCAAGATACAGTGAAACAGCATTTTCAAGAAACTTGAGGAAAGACAGTGTGAACTAAGGATCAGGCTACATAAAAATAGTTACATATGCAAGAACTAAGAAAATACTCAGAAGCTTTTCTTCAGAGGTCTACTAGAGCAGGGGTTGGCAAACTACAGCCTGTGGGCCAAATCCAGCTGTTTGTTTTTGTAAATAAAATCCTATTAGAATACAGTCACGCCCGTTCATTTGCACATTGTCTATGGCTGATTTCATGCTATAAGGCAGAGATGCAAAGTGCAACAAAGACCGCATGGCCCACAAAGCCTAAAATATTTACTATCTGGCCTTTATAGGAATCCTTGGGTGGCGCAAAAGTCCTCAATTACCAGCCCCAAACTGGCAGTTCTAACCCAACCAAGGGGTGCCTCGGAAGAAAGCCTGGTGATCTGCTTCTGAAAGGTTACCGCCTTGAAAACCCTACGGAGCAGTTCCACTTTGCACACATGGGGTCACCATGAGTTGGAACTGATTAGGTGGCAACTAACAATGACAACAACAAGCCCTTTACAGAAAAAGTGTGCCAACCCCTGTACTAGAGGATGAGCTTCATTCATCCAAGAGATGAACGGGGAAATTTCAGTGAAAAAACTCATGTTGAGCATTTAATACACTCATTCCTCACTTACCAACATGGTTAGGTTCCAACGACTAGGTTGTTATGCAAAAATTGGTGTTATGCAAAAACGGAGGATGGCCATATCAGATCACAAAATGGAGGATGACTACATCATTACATAACTGCCAAATTACATCATTACATAACTGCCAAACCACTGAGAATCATGGCCCAGCCAAGTTTGAGACATAATCTTAGCTATCACAGCTAGCATTACTCTTGCCTCACACCCTGGCATCTGTTACTGCCAGATGTACGTCATTGATGTGCAAAACAATCAGACAGTAGATTTTTACTATCACTGTAAACGTAAAATGTTGGATAAGAAGATAGTTGATAAGGGGTAGGTTTACAGATCAAAGATCACAGATTAACACAAATGTTAGGACATGAGTGGAATAATAATTTATAAATGTTGTATGTTCTGGAAAAAAAGAGATACTGCAACTTTAAAAATGGCAAGTCAGAAGCTGTGCCTGTGAGCTGAGCCCATCTACCATCCCACCCCAGCTGCAATGAGGCCTCGCTCCGGGAGGGTGTCTGTAGATGCTGTGTGAGAACAGAGCCTGTCTCCTACCCAGTCTGGCAATAACAAGACTTAAATAGGAGTAAGAGTCTCATAACATAATACCCAAAATGTCCAGAATGCAACTGAAAATAACTTGTCATACCAAGAACCAGGAAAATCTCAATTCAAAAGAGAAAAGATGATGTACAGACACCAACACTCAGATGACACAGATATTATCTATGGAATCATCCGACAAGAATTTGACAAGGATTTTAAAGTATCATAAAAATGCTTCAACAAGCAATTATGAACACTCTTGAAACATGAAAAATAGGAAGTCTCAGCAAAGAAATAGAAGATATAAAGAAGAACCAAATGGAAATTTTAAAACTGAAAAATTCAATAACTGAAAAACTCACTGGAAGGGTTCAATATGAATGAAGATGAGAGAAGAAAAAAAATCATAAACTCAAAGACAGGTCAATAGAAATCCAATCTGAACAACAGAGAGAGAGAGAGAAAAGAAATGAACAGAGCCTTCTGGACTACTTACAGAACAATAACAAAAGACCTAATATCTGTGTCATCAGAGTCCCAGAAGGAGAGATGGAGCTAAAAAAATTTTCAAGAAATAATAGCAGAAAGTTTCCCAAATTTGGCAAAAGACATAACCCTACAGACTCAAAACTGGAACGAGGACAGTGAGAGAAATGAGAAAAACAGAATAAGCTCATCAATCATTGCACAGGTAAAAGATAGGGGTCAAAAAATACCATTTAAAACTGTCACATCACATAGTTAAAAAGAAAAAGGCATTACAAAAGGTAAAAATATAAAGCTTACCTACTAGAACAAAAACACAAACCTTCCTAATGCCAAACGAAATTTTAAAAAGGGAAAAGAAAGCACACTAAATAGAGACTAAAACACACAGAAATTATAACACAAAATAATGAGAGTTGAAACCAAATATATCAATCGTATCACTATTTGAGAACTTGGGCCACACCAAATAGTTTATGGTTAACAATGTGTTCTGTGGTGAGTAACTATTTTTGCTTGCCTGAAGCCCTAGGCCATGCTATACCAGTCGAATCTTTGGGTAGTCTAGAGACTGAGTAGCTAAGGTCAGTCACATGGGTGCTCCATGTCTACGTGACAGATCCCCAATAAAAACCCTGGACACCAAGGCCCACGTGAGCTTTCCGGTTGGCAATATGTGTTGCCACACATTGTCGCTGGGAGAAATAAATACCGCTGGTATATGACTCCACTGGGAAAGAACAACTGGAAGCTCATGCTTGGCTTCTCCCAGACTCTGCCCTATGTGCCTTCTGCCTTTGCCGATTTCAATTTAAAAACTCACTGGAAGGATTCAATGGTAGAAAGAAGATGAGAGAAGAAAAAAATTCACGAACCGGTAATAAATCATAACTGTGAGTATAACAGCTTTGAGTCTTTCTAATCACTGAATCTGAGGGTGGTCTTGGGGACCCCTGATATACTTATCACCAATGTTACCCATAATCAAGTCTCAGCACGTAATCAATCTGCTACAACTGATTAATTTCATTTGTACCAATGGTAAAATAAGCTAGATATGTATCAAATATTAGAGGACACTCGAAACTGTCTAGGAATCTCAAGTCATGGCTGAACGACTTCAAAAAGCACAGGAAAACCGAATCATTTCCATTGCAAACAAACTTTTAAGCAGTACAACAAATACAAAGCAAATGAACAGACTGACCTGAGTTAGTCCAAATTTCTCCTCTAGTTCTCAGTGTCAATATTTTAGCTTTCCTTCTAATGTCTCACAGGCACATTAAAGTCCAAAACCCACCTAATTTCTTCACACTCCAACCCAGCCTTTTCTCCAGGATTCTCAGCCGTCACCGACTCAAATTCTGAAGCCGTTCCTGCTGTTTTATACCTCTTTCTGTAGCTATTCTAGTTTTCTGTTGCATCTTACCCTAACCTTCCAATCAGAAAGCTTGGTATTACCCTTGACTCCTCTCTTCTCTCACCACCCATATCAAACCCAGCAAATTTTACCACAGAAATATTTTCCAAGTCTCCCTTTGCCTTTTTATTCCTACTGCCTCAGTTCTAATACTGGTCCTAATTTTCTATAATCCATACCACAAAACTACCACTAATCTGACTTTCCAACTCCAGTCTCCCCTAAAATCTACACTCAAATTAGTAGCGATGAGCTATAAATCCAAAATACAAATTTGATCATTATTCTTCCGCTCCCTATCTACTACGTAAAAAAAGGATATATGGCTCTTAATGTGGTAATCAAGACCTTTCATGATCTGTTGTTGTTGTTATTAGGTGCCATCTAGTCAGTTCCGACTCATAGCAACCCTATGTACAACAGAACGAAACACTGCAAGGTCCTGCACCATCCTCACAATCACTGCTATGTTTGAGCCCACTATTATAGCCACTGTGTCAATCTATCTAGTTGAGGGTCTTTCTCTTTTTTGTTGACCCTCTACTTTACCAAGCATGATGTCCTTTTCCAGCAACTTGTCCTTCCTGATAAAATGTCCATATTGAGACGAAGTCT